CCATGGGATGTGGAAGTCCCTCCACCTGTCCCAAGAGTGGAGTTCTGATCCCAGCAGGTGGAATTAAAATGGCCATGCTTTAGGCCCCTGCTAAGACCTTGTCACAACCTTCCCACACTGGCAGCCCTCTGGCTGCTGAGACCTTCTTAGTATGGCTGCTTTGCCAGTCACCAAACCTATGGCAAATCCACTCCAATCAGCATTCAAATCTGGTTGCTGTATAAATTCAAATCTGCCCACTCTTCCAAGCTTTCCACTTAATGTGCAGCTTCCCCCAACAACTAAAAACTCTGGAAAGGCTTCCTCTTGTCCCAGACCTCCATGAGGGAGCCAGCTGATCCCAGCTGGTCTCAGTCATTTGTCTAATTCATCAGATTTCCACCTCATATGGAAATGAGGATCATATGCTGTATCCAGCTTATCACCGCCTTGCTGTGCTCCCTGAGCTATGACTCTGGGTAAGGTCTCTGTGCCAGCTATGGCTGGGTTCTCTCTTTTTCCCCAATTGTTCTAAGAGAGCTCAGCTGAACCATCCTTCTGGTCTGCCAACTTGCTCTGCCCCCCTTTCTCTAATTTTTAATAACACATTCATCACCTTGTAAAACAGGACCTTTAGCATCCACATCTCTGCTAATAGCCTTTTTCACAGTGATTTAGATATTCTGGAAGGAGATTTAGGTTTTCTCTGTAATACACCTTGTTTTCTTCTGAGCCCTCATGAGCAGAGTATTTAATGTTCATATTTGTACTGAGAAAACTAAGACACCACCTTCCAAGTTCCAGCTGAAATGTCACTTCTTACATGCAGCTTTCCTAGACTCCCAGTCAGCAGGTATCACTACCTGCACTTGGTCATCCCTGCCCTTGGGCTAAACATGTGGTTTCTCCGTGATGCCACTACTTACATGTTCAGGAAACATCTGCTGGGGACTGACATGTATCAATCCCTGGGAAGGGAGCTGATGGCAATAATGACACAAAGCCTCCTTGGATCCTGATACCCAGGAGCTGAAAGCTTAAGAAGAAGTAAAATGTGCCAACTACCAAAATTCAAGAAAGAAAGTGACCAGGGCCACAGATGAGAAAAGGAAAAGTGGAGCGAGAGTATAGAGGTGGGTAGAGTCATTCTGGCTTAGGATGTGCTGCCAGAGAATCAGGAGACAATGTTAAAAAAATTATTTTTAATTTAATCTCCTTGTGTCTTTCCTATCATTCATCTAATCTCTCACTACTCTCATTTAACCATTGTAGAGGTTCATCCATCATTCGTCCAGACAAATAGCCTTCCTGTCTGACTTCTTATCCTTACTGTCCTTCCAATCCATCCTTCCTTTCTTCCCAATCATCCTTTTTTCTAACCAATATTCCTTCCTGTCTTTTTTCCTAATTTGTTTATACACCCTTCCTTTTATCTAGCCTGTCAGCATTCTTTTCTACTTATCCATCCTTCCCATCTATCCTTTCTTCTTTTCTTTCCAGTTCTACATATGCTCTTCTTTTTCCTTCCTTCATTTTTTGCTTCTCTTTTGCCCCTGCCCTTCCTTCCCTTCCTGGAAGTCCAACTTTTCTTCTGTATGATCTACCCACTCGTTACCATCTGCCTTTTTTTCTGTGAAGGTGAATTTGATGTGTCAACTTGACCAGGCTAAAGGATGTCCAGATAGCTGGTAAAACATTATTTCTGGGCATGTCTGTGAGGGTGGTAGCAGAAGAGATTAGCATTTGAATCAGTACACTGAGCAGACAGATGCCAATGTGGGTGAGCATCATCCAATCTGTTGAGATCCCAAATAAACTAAAATGAAAAAGGAATGGCAAATTTGTTGTCCCTCTTCTTAATTTGAGGCATCATCTTCTCCTGCCCACAGACACTGGAACTTTTTTTTTTTTAAGAGACAGACTCACTTCATCGCCCTTGGTAGAGTGCTGTGGTAGTGTCACACAGCTCACAGTAACCTCCAACTCCTGAGCTTAGGTGATTTTCTTGCCTCAGCCTCCTGAGGCTGGGACTACAGGTGCTCACCACAACACTGGCTATCTTTTTGTTGCGGTATGGCCAGGGCCAGGTTTGAACCCACCACCCTCGGTATATACTCACTGAGCCACAGGCACTGCTTGGAACTTTTTGTTTTTGGATGTTTGCACTCTGGGACTTATACAAATGACCCTTTAGGTTCTCAGGCCTTTGGCCTCAAACTGGGAGTTACAGTATTGGCTCCCCTGGCTTTCAGGCCTTCGGAGTTGGACTGAATTATACCACCAGCTTTCCTGGTCCTCCAGTTTGCCAATCACATACTGTAGAACTTTTGAGCCTCCATAATTGCATGAGCCAATTCCCATAATAAATCTCCTGTCATTACATCTCTGCATATCCTGCTGTTTGTGTTTCTCTAAAAAACCTCGACTAATACACCTT